TTTAATCGGTTAGTCACAGCGAAAGTACAAAGAATGGCAGACTTATTTGCGTAAATAAGTTGTCAAATTTTTGTGCAGATAAACCATAAACAAACATATCATCTTGTATACTAAGTTCTCCAGTTAACGCCCTCCTTAAACTATCGAGAAGCTAAGGGGAGCAGACTTGTTGGTGATTGTGTTTGAACTTAATGTTCAGTTCCGAAATTTAATTTTTTTCATCTGACTTGATCGGTATTTCATTTATGTTTTTTATTTTTGTTCCCAGTACTTTAATGCTAGTGTTCTCAAATTATTTGTGTCATGTATTTGCGACTTTGTTATTGGTTGTTTCTTGACAAGGTCATATGCTTCGTTTTATCTATACACAATTCCTTCTAGATCAATTTTTTTAGTAGTCTGCGGGAGGCTTTTTGCTTTATGATGCCGGTATTATAGTCTCCCCAAACAAATTATATTCATCAGCATAAGCAGGCCTCATATTTAAGGGCACTAGTATGTTCTTGAAATGAGGTTCTAAATTCTAATTATATTATAATTTTTAGTCTCTCTAGTCCTTAAATAGCGAACCGACATTATTCATAAATAGAATTAATCAAACATGAAGTTATTTATGTGCGTCCAAAATAATACCAATGTTTGTATGGTTACTGTAGTTCTAAATAGCGGGCCCTCACAGGTCACATTTTAACAGAATGAAGCCGTAACAATTGTATGTCGAAGATATAGTAAACCCGCGCTAATCTGGATTAATTGGAGTTATCCGGATTAAGCGATAATCCAGATTAGTGAAGCAAAATGTAGCCCTAAACGACAACAAACTTGGAACACAAATAAATGGGAAATTCAGTGACATAAATAGGACTGTTGAAAATAAATAAAAACAATTCGCTGTTGAGGCTTTGTTTAAAAACTATAAAAAGACAATACATTTATTCATCGATGGAAGACTCATAAGTTGTACTTGTTTTTGAACGTAATAATTTGCAGGTTTGAAGAAACTGTCAAGTTTTGTCTGAACATACAAGTGACTCGTCGTCTTCCTAAATCCCTTGTGTCTTTTAAAGTACTAGTACTCAACTTTGAACAGAACCTTTCGTTTTCATATTTCGATCCGGGTTAACTGTAACCGGATTATCGAGGGTTTACTCTATTCAGATTTCTGGAGTTAATATGGTATTTGAAGAAAACAGTCTTCTGGGATTTGGCACCGTGTATATGTGGTGTTAACCGACGTTTCGGAGGAACGTATCGCCTCCATCTTCAGGGTAGAAGAAAAACATATATAAGAATCTGCAAGCAAAGAGACCGTGAGAACCGGTAAAAGCAGTCTCACGGTCTCTTCGCTTGCAGATTCTTATATATTTTTTCTTCTACCCTGAAGATGGAGGCGATACGTTCCTCCGAAACGTCGGTTAACACCACATATACACGGTGCCAAATCCCAGAAGACTGCTTTCTTCATAGTCACCGCCGTGAAAGCCTCAAATCTTACAATATGGTATTTGTTTAGCCCCTGGCAGGATGCGCATATTTGATCCCTGTAACAAGCCGCCACTGGTCAATTATAAACTAATTGAAAGTATGAAAGTTATAGCTTTCTTGTAGCAAAGTACAGAGATATGATTACTTACTTCAGACCTTTGAAAACGGGACGCCACTAGTCACATATAAACTAATTGAAAATATTAAATTTGTAGCGTGCTTGTCGAAAAAGTATGTGCTTATTTTCATCTGAGCCTTGAAAACGGACCGCCACTGATCACGTATAAAATAACTGAAAGTGTAATCGTTGGAGAAAATATAGAGCTACGCATATCTGATCGTTGATAACGAGCCACCACTGGTCACTCATAAGCTGTCAAGTAAGTGATGTTACAACTAACATATTATAGTGCGTGTTGGAATTGCACGCGCATGCGTATCGTGAAGCCTCAGTGGCGACAAGTAACAATGTGAAGATACGAGCTTCATAGCAGTTTCAAAATTTGCGTCGTTTTGAAGACATTTGTTTACCTTGAGAGTGGCGTGCAGAAATTGCATGCCGCACACCGACCGGAGGTAATCTTGTGAGGTAATTAATCATAGCCCAGCAGAACAAGGACTCGGTTTATTAATACCGTCTAATTAATCACGTAGTCTATAGAACAATTCTAATTCTACGAATAAAGTGAGCTATCAGCGAGGAATCTACACGAATGGACATTTAATTCGTTCACGTGGAATTGCGTGTTTAATCGGCTATTCAGGTACATTTGTTATAACGTTGCGATTATCAAACCTTTTTTAAGGGGGGGGGGTTACATCCATAGAAAAACGAAAACCAGTTTTCCACTTTATTTTCTCTATTGGCCTTACGGATAGATCAGACCTTCAGCTTACTCTATTTTCTAAAAAAGTGAAGTTGTTCCTGTGATTAACTAATTAAGCACTACGCCAAGAAGGCGTAGGGGGGGTGTGGATGTATAGACCTATGTTTTCTTGACCTCGGTACTAGTTGGAGGCGAGTTGTCAGCTTCACGCCCTGGCCGCTTTACCCCCGGTACCCATTGAATACGAGGCTGGGTGAGCCCCAGAGATCCCTCGGTCGTGCAGCCCGTAGCCAGTCGCTATAGTGACTGAGCTATCCTGGCTCTTCTGTTCTGTTCTATAGGTTTTATAAATCATATTTCAGATAAGCGGTGGAGCTTCATCGAGGGAAAGGAGACCATCGCGAGGTCTTCGTCACGGGTCAGTACAATAAAAGCTGCAAACCTTTATGTCTCGAACCGGATTCGTACCCATGATCTCTATTTAAACGGTTTGACAGAGCGCACAATTTATACAGAGTAGGGACTAGGACAGGCTGTAATTGATTGGCTGCTTTCCCCTTTGTTATATTAAAAGGAAAGCTTTTGCTGTCGGCACATCTGAATGTGGACGTATGTGTGTCTACCCTCTCACCCGTTCTATCTATCTATCTATCTATCTATCTATCTATCTATCTATCTATCTATCTATCTATCTATCTATCTATCTGTCTGTCTGTCTGTCTGTCTGTCTGTCTGTCTGTCTGTCTGTCTGTCTATCTCTGTCTGTCTATCTGTCTGTCTCTCCGCCCGCCCACCTACCTGTGTCTCTACAGTCCTTTTGTTGGACCTTAGCTGATTTTTCAGTTTCGTAATCCCATACACAGTCGGTAGGACTCCTTGGACGGGGGATCAACCCGTCGCAAGGCCGCTACATACACACAGGACAAAACAAACAGAATAAACGCACACAGACATCCATGGCTCGAGTGGGATTCGAACCCAGATACCAGCGTTCGAGCGAACGAAGACAGTTCATGTCTTAGACAGCGCGGCTGCTGTGATCGGCCTCTCTTCCGTTACCTCAGAAAATTTCAACGGTTTCTTTTAGTATAAAATTTGTATACAATTGGGGCCCAACTCGTATTCATACTTTTTTAACGCCTTGTTGTCGTGTATAGCAACCTGACAGTATTTCAAACTTCTCTTGTATGCGAACATCGGCGAATTTTAATGTAGGATCCTGAAATATGATGCCTTAATTTAGTGTCCGAAAGGTATGCAGCTATTATGTCATAAGTACTAGCAACACGATATGCGAAATCAGCATTTAATTTTTAATTTATTAGTTTTAATTATTACTAGATGTGTCAGATGTGATATGGCAGAATGCAATAAATATGGACTACAAATCGTGTATGAAATCTTGTTTTCTGAAAAGTGCTCCTAAAAACTCCGTGGTTTTAGTCCGCAAGCGAACTATACCGACTGAGCGACCGCCGCTTGTCGGCGAAATAAGTGCCAACTTTAGCGGATAGAGGGTGTCGCGTGGTCAGCGCAACGAATCCCCACGGCCGTTAATTTCGGTTTTCTAGACCGGGTCTGAAATGTGCTAGTAAGGAGATAATACGAGGGACATTTTTTCGTTTTAGTGCAGGCCTAGTGTCTTCCAGCTGAGAATAATTAGCCCACAGTTGCTTATTCATTGACTTGTTTATGCGTACTTTAAATGTCCTGATTAAGTCGGAATAGCTCAGCCAATACTCGTTGTTGGAGGGACGATCGTAGTTCTGTTTGACGCTTTCCGTTACCCACCACTACCATATCGGCCCTGGGACCCTCCCAGCATCATACTAGTGGGTGCTAGAAGCTCTTTCCCCTGGTCGTGAAGCTGAACACATATGCATCTATTATCGAGGTAATATTAAACGAGCAGTTCTGGGAAAAACCAGTCGTCTACGCTGCATATTGAGTAAACTGATTTGATACGACACGGACTGCAAAGAAAACACCGCGTCCAACAGTTCATATGTTGTCGCATGTGTATTCGTTACTGCAGGATCGTGTTTAACCGAGCTGTTGACTAGCAACGATAGCGGAGATAGACACACAGCAAGGTGATCTCATAAGGCCCCTTTTATTTTTGTTTCAAAATAAGGGAAGTGGGCTAAAAATATTGAAAATATAAAGGGATTTCCGTTTGGCTGGCTAATTATCGGTGAACTAGACACTGTTTTAGAAGAATTGCAGCTGGATCCTGAAGCACGTGACTACATGCGTTGTCTTACACAACTGCGCAGTCGCAGCTCGATTCGTTCATAAACAGACAATTGAAGTATCAATGACCCCACCGCGTAGGTGAGGAGAGAGGTATTTGACCTTCCTTATTGTTTGACACAACAGTGGCATTAGCAGCAGGAGTGTGAAGTGTGGTTATAGGTACTCATGTTGTTCGGCTCCTCTTTGTACGTCAGAATCTGGTACCAAGACAAGGCGGGTTCGCATCCTGAATTGGCCAGTGCCAAAGTTTGTGCCCAGTTACACGAACTGCGTATCTGCAGGGCCGATCGTGTTGTTACAGTGATGCCGAGATAGGCGCTGACGGTTGTGCTGAGGATTTTCGTGATTTTTGTCTGTGCTTCCTCTGAATGTTGGCATGTTAGCTGCATGTAGGCCAAAACCCCCTTTTAACATATCCTTCTCTTTTTTCAGAATTTTATTTTATCTTCCCATCTTATCGGGTGATCTGGATATACATGTAAGTACTGCAGTTGAAGCAGCAACGTATATCTTAGTACACCAGATGCACGGGGAACAGAAAAACGTCTGCCTAGATCTTATTGAGTTAGGTTAGTTTTGGCATACACTCACTTTTATTGTTTACCATGGACGGTCTTCCAAAATTTCCATCAATTTCCATATGCAGTTTATATTGGAATTATTGTAGAGGTGGGAAAGGGTATGGTACAGAATTAGCATTATCATTTCATTAGGTTGTACCTCCATAATGACTTCGGAAGAACTAATTTGTCTTCATGACACTTGGTGCCGTTAAATTCCCCCCCCCCTTGGCACTACAGCCCCAGTGGGCCTAGGCCTACCTCCACGAACTTCTCCGTTCAATTCGGTTTTTCTAGATCTTACACATTCCGTAGGACTCCTTGGGCGGGTGATCAGCTCGTCGCAAGGCCTCTACCTGTACACAAACACAGAAAAACGCACACACACAAACTAAACATCCATGCCCTGAGTGGGATTCGAACCCACGATCCCGGTTTCCAAGCGAGCGACGACAGTACATGCCGCCATTATAGTTATAAATCTGTAATTTATGTTTAAGAAGAAACGTGTAAACACATTCTTTTTCTGCTTCGATGATCATTGAATGTATGTACCGACAATTACTTGGTACAGACGCAACTTTCTAAGGCATGTGGACATGTGAGTGACATGAGGAAAAGGTCAGTTAGGAATAGAATCCTGCATTTCGTGAAGAAGTACACACTTGCACCAGACACACGCGCGCACGCACACAGATTCTCACGCTCTCGCGCGCGCGCATACACGCTTCCACAGACACACACAGACGCGCTCGCGCACAAACACACACACGCTCGCACACAGACGGTCGCGCACACATACACACACACACACACACAAGTGTGCGCACAGACACACACAGACACACATGCACACCTACACATCACATATATACATGCACGTAGACACGCATACATGCGGAAGCACGCACACACATACACACACATATTGAACTTCCAGGAAGGTCCTCAGGCTCGGGTGAGATGTGAGTTGGAACGTCCGTATGATTTTCATTCTCTTGCAGCAGAAGGATCTGCCGTTGTCATGCTGCGTAGTTTAGAAAGGAAATGTTTGTAATGCAGCAACAATAAAAACCAGCCGGTTTTTGTAATCCATTCTAGCGCTAGTTCAATAGTCTGCATTCCTGAACTTCAGCTGAAGGTCATCGGTGACTAATGCGGAAACTGATTATATGTATCTGCATAATTTTGGCTTACGAATCTACGAATGAAAACTGAGGACAGACGCACCAATAAATAATAGAATTTTGCTATAAGCACAATAATTTGTGTTGTCATGTCTGTCTAAAAATTGTTTCTTTATGCATATAGAATAGCTTCTTTTTGGGTTAATGGATTTTGATGACATTTAACTCCATGAGGAAGGATCCTTCTTGAGTAGCTTTTAGTTGCGTCTTAATTATGTAATTAAACACCATACCATGAAGGCATAGGGGTAGTGAAGGTATAGTTTCCAAAATCCTTGACCTCGGTAGTAGGTGGTGGTGAGTAGTCAGCTTCACGCCCCAGCCCCTTTACGCCAGAGGAAGCAACCTCCTGCACCAATTGGGTAGGACGCTGGGTGAACCCGATGGCTGGTCTGGGCGCTGTGGAGTAGAGAAAATAATCTCTTGCATCTGCTGGGAATCGAACCCCTACCGTCCAGGCCGTAGCCTAGTCACTATACCAGGCATGTCAAACTCAACTTGTACAGAGGGCCACCTCAGCCCTATAAATAATAGTCCAGGGCCGCACTTCAAAATAGAAATATACATTAGATTTTGATACAAGGAAATTTAATTATATTTATTATTTAGGAATAATTTCAATATAATTACCTAAAGTCACATATCTTACAGTTTTAAAACGCAAGAGAATACCATTTTCGACAAGTATCAGACAGCTTTTCAATATGTAAAAAGAGAGACTACACAAGAAATTATGTTAGAAATAGCAAAACATTGAATTTCCTGCAGCCTGCTAATTTATGTTTGCGTGAGACTTCTTGTCTTCTGGTCTGTTGGAAAATTGTCTTTACAAAAAATATTTCTACTAAACTTTTAATGTTGATTTTAATATGAATTAGCTCTAAAAGTTGAGGGGCCGCACTTTGTGGCTATGGGGGCCGCATGTTTGACACGGCTGCCCTATACTAACTGTGGCTCCTTATCTAGCCTATTACAGTATAGTATAATACACCTGTGGAACCTCTTGGAATGTTATGTAAATTTACACCAAATGTGTGATATTAACGACTGTAAACAGGACCTGAAGATGGTATGCACGTGCCGAAACATGTCTTAAGGCGCGTCCACATTACTCGTGCTCGTGCGTCAGAAGCTTACTGCTGCCGGAAAATCAGGATCAGGAGCTGACGAAGTGGACGCCCAAACTGGTCTGCATACAAAGCCTTCGCATTTCTTCACAAAGATATCAGCAGTAAGCATCTGACGCACGAGCACGAGTAATGTGGACGCGCCTTTAGACAGCAACCCCACCTCCTGGAAATAGTGTCGTGTTGCCAGAGAATGCAATGAATATTGTATATAGTGATTTACGCAACAGAATGCAGCAAAACATGAGTGTTCACAAGAGCCCGTTACTGCAACGTGTCCGAAGCCAGATTAATCCCGTTTACACGTCGTACTTTATTTCCGTTTGTATGTAATTTTCCTCGGATATACTGCAAGTCTCCCGAATGACCCTTCCATTCAAGTGTTCCGACCAAAATGTTGTATATACTCTGAAATAGTTGAAGAAAGCAGTCTTCTGGAATGTGGAACCGTGTAGCTGTGGTGTTAACCGACGTTTCGGAGGAACGTATCGCCTCCATCTTCAGGGTACAAGGAAAAATAAAAAAAATCCACAAGCGAAGAGACCGTGAGAACCGGTACAAGCAGTCTGCTTGTACGGTGTCTTCGCTTGCTTCATGGCGTAGTGCTTAATTAGTTAAGCACAGGGACTTTACCTTATCACCCAGAGAAGCAGGTGCGTTAACACATATCATGTTTCACAATACTTATTTTTTACTGCAATGGAGAGAAATAATCAGATTAAAATTTATACGAATTATAATTTATGGAAGTGACAATTATTTTTAATGGTACTGCGAGCCATTTCTCTTTTCTGAGAGTTCGGAATAACTTGGGTTCGTATTGCAGATGTTCCAGTGGGTTTGAAGTGATACCCATCCGGCTCGAAGGTACGCTATACTGTTAGAATGTTATAAGACGTACGACAACTTTGTCCGGCGTGAATATGATGATAATAATAATAATAATGTTTCCTATTTAAAGACGTTACACATCGTCTCCTTATACTTCGGCCTCCGTCACTATGGTCCGCGTCAGTTGCTAGGTAATAGATCAGGTTGGTAGTTGGAGCCGACAGTCACGGACTCAGCTCTGCTGTGGCTTGTTCTGGAATGATTTAAGGACTCGATGGTTGAAATGAAAGCCGTAACCAAAGAGAAGTAGACCGAGCCAAACGAATGTCTCGTCTGTGGCTTCTGTAGTCCGTGTGATTAGATCTGACCGATTTTCACAGAAGGTGCAATGCATTTGATTGATTCCGCAGAGATAAGGGTTGTAGAGTGTGTATGGATTTGAGGAACAAGTTAGTTACAGTGCGTCACCCAAACTCCCACAGTGCAGTGCGGTCACTGTTCCTCTACTTCTTGCTATACTTCTCACGCGAAACCCAGTGGTTGGGCCTAAAAGCGGGGACAGCGCTTCACCCATCAAAGACGCATTGGCCTGTCCGTTAAATTGCTGCCGGTCCTCGCCAGCACAGTAATTCTGGGTTTCGTAACCCGTCGAGACCCATGACCATATTTATCTTTTCAGGACTTCTACGTGTTTTGAACTTGGGACTCTTCTTCACCGAGAAGAGATTCTGACTACTGCTGGTCACACCCCTCTACTGGGGAGTGACTCAAGCGGCCAGTCAATCACTGTAACCAACCAACCAATAAACAAAGTAACAAAACAAACTCCGTGGTTTTAGTCCGCAAGCGAATATACCGACCGAGCGATCGCCGCTTGTCGGCGAAGTTAGTGCCAACTTTTGCGGATAGAGGGTGTCGCGTGGTCAGCGCAACGGATCCCCACGGCCGTTAATCTCAGGTTTTTAGACCGTAGCCGCTATTTCTTTGAAGTAGCTCCTCAATTATCCTCACGAGGCTGAGTGGACCCCGTTCCAGACCCTCTACTTCCCAGAGAATCTGGTAGCGCTGGGAGTTGGCACTAACTTCGCCGACAAGCGGCGGTCGCTCGGTCGGTATATTTTGCTTGCGGACACAAGCCAAGGAGTTTGTTTTTGTATGGCTGAGTAATCATCATCATCATCATCACCTCATGGATTCGGCCTATGTCTGAGAGGTCCCTTCCTCTTCCAGAGTATGTTGATAGTGCCATCTTAATATTGGGTGCCCCACACTTAATTTTTCTAATAAATATGATATTTATTTAGAAATACTGTCTATTTACCTACTTACTCATGTAGCTGAGCCCTTTTTGAAAAGCTGCCAATTGTGCAGCTACTCAAGAACTTGATATAATTTTAAAGAACCCGAAGGTTCATTACCGTGTCAGGTGGGTCCCTTGTCACCATGGCATGGTGCGTCCTTAGGTTGCGGGTGGAGGATACACCCTCCAGATATGGAGGGAAGAAGTCGCGGATAGCCGACAAGGCTGGGGGTTTGGTGTGGAGCTAACAACTCCTCACCGTAAAAAACAAGCTTGTTACGAAAATTGTCAGGAAGCCTCTGACCTGGACGGATTCCTTCGATAGACGACTAAACGAAAGAAAATACTGTCTGTTTGCTTTCGTAAAATACAATATTTGCTCTGAGATCTGTGCTCTGCAATTATATAAACCTGTTTTCTATAAACTTTTTTTTCCTGAACTTTCTTCTAATTATGCCAGACATATTGTGTAA